ATTAAGGATGGCTGTTTTGCAAAAGCATCCTAAGGTATTCTGATGTGTCCCTCAGCTTAAGGACCGCTATCCTGAGAGCTGGTAGTTTATCAGCCAGTTCATTTGCACTTGAGTGAAGACGTTAGGCATAGCATCCTTCTCATGTCACCCATCCATTAGTCACACATGGAACAGTGTGAAATTCCACAGAAGTGCAGAAGCAGCAGACAACACATAATGACCTAGTAGCCCCAGGAGTTCACTCATCACAAAGCTCCATTTTAGATGAGAAACAGAGTCACTGTGCAAAGAGTAGCATCTGGTGCCAGTGCTGGGGGGACAGTGGAAGGAGTCTGGATTTATGAGACCTGAGTTCTTGTGCCAAGTAACTTGAAAAGCACTGAATAACTTTAAAAACAAACACCCCATAGATTAATTTTATTTTTATTCAGTAGTCACAGTGGACTCAGCATTTGGGGGCATGTTACAAAATAGTTAAAATGGCTCAGAGTAATGACAATCAAACTTCACTGTTAAAATTTTTAATAGAATATAGTTAGCAATATAGTATCATTATCTAATATTTTATAATTAATAGTGCAAATAAAAAAGATAGAGAAAAATGTACTAATTACCACATATTACCCCCCAAGTTTTTTTTAAATAAAATGTCAAAGAAAATTAGAAAATTATTTAATTAAATTTTGTTTAATGAGAGTGTTAGGAGCAATAGAGAGAGTTGAATTTTCCAGTTAACCAGTGGTCCAGTGGTCAAAGAGTTAACACCTTTATTTCCCCTTCTTAGTCTAAAACACATTTCTATATTGGCAGAGTCCATTTTCTTGCATTACAGAGGAATCGGTATGAAGTAACTATGAGAGATTCATTTCTTAGTGATTAAGGACTTGGTAGGGATTCAAAATTATCCTTCTCAACATGAAATCTCACTTAGAAGGGAAGATGTCAGCTATTAGATGAACATACATAGACCCCAAGTTCTTTCTCAATTTTGTTTCTTTTATGTAACATCCCAGCTTTGTATTCATTTTGTCATTCTTTGTTCACTCTTTCTCAGGGGAGTAGTGGAGTTCAATTGGAGGGTTCTATCAGTTTGATTATATGTTACCAAGATTTGTCTACACTAACCTTGTAGTCAGACATTCTGGTGATGTAGTTGAGTGGCATTTATGTTTGAACAAACTCTGCCATTTCCTTTGGCCTCCATTATGTTTGAGATGGAGGCCGTCGGTACGAAATGCCCAGGAGCTTGTTACAGAGTTTCCAGTGACAGAATTTGACTGTGGGAGGTAATTTTCATTTTATTCTCTCAGTAATTATTTTATAAACAAGATGTTCTTTGTAAAGTGTCTAAAAGCTATAGGAAATTCCTCAATTTTGTATTAGCTTTTAAGCAGTTGTGGAATGGCTATGCTTTTAGTATAAGACCTTGGAATGCTTATTGTGTAGGTGACCTAATTCTGATTTTACCATTACTAACAGCTTGCTAGCTCCACTGGGCAAATCAGTTACCTCCATGAAGCTCTGTAAACTGTGGCAATGGGACAAGTTAATCTCAAAAGGTATTTCCAATCTGAGTTACTTTTCAACCAGTTGAAATTATTCACTGACATTTGCTGCCTGCGGCTCATATTCCCCCTGGCTAATGGGCATTCTGGCTTGAGGAATGTCTCTTTTATTCATTCACTCAACAAATATGTATGAAGCATCTACTCTGTGCCAGGCGTTGTTCTAGGTGCAGGTTCTAGGACACATCAATGAACAAGACAGAAAAGGTCCCTGCCCTCATGGAGCTGACATTCCAATGGGAGGAGAGAGGACAAGGGAACAAATGAGTAAACACAATCATCTCAAATGGTGAAAATGCTCTGGAGAAAACTTGACAGGTCACTGGGATAGAACTGACTGGACAAGGCTTTGGGGGTGACTTGATTGGGTTCTCGCAGAAGAAGATCCTAAGACAAGGACTGAAATACAAGTGATTTCTTTGGGTGCCAATCCTTCCAGTAGGGGAGCAGGGAAGTGAGGTAGGGAAGGGAAAAATCAAGACACTTTCACAGCAGGCTTCTGCAGGAGCTCGGTCCCTTAGAGATCTCTAGCTGTCAGTGCAGAGCACACCTCAGGGTTATGCCACCTGGAGGAGAGGATCCTGGGGTATGTATCTACTGAGAGCTGCTTCTGGATGTATTAAGAACATTACCCACCTGCACATAGGTGGGTAAAGTGGAATACCACTTTGTAAAGGGGAGTGGAAATGAATGGGGAGCTGACGGTATCTCTCAGGGCAAGAATAATTTTTTCAGTAAGGGGTCAGGAAAGAGATGACATTCTGCTGAGAGTCAAGAGATGGAAAGGAGCAGGCCAGGGAAATCACATTTCCAGGCAGAGAGAATAGCAAAGGCAAAGGCTCTGAGTACAACTAAGCTTGGTTTGTTTTTAAAATAGAAACAATAAAGAATGATGCAACTTCAGAGGCACAGATACAGGAGGAATGTCTTTAAGTCATGAAGTCCAATCTTTTAGATAAGAAAACTAGAAGAAGTCATTGAGAAAGTAAGAGAGATGGACAATGCCACAGGATCCTGAGACAGAACTGGGACGAGCACCCAGGTCTCTTGGCTGTCAGTTGAGGGTTTCCCCCCACTCACCATAACGCTTCCTCTGCTCATTCTCCCATTTCACTCATTGGGATTTGGCAATTTCCCTAAGCCATGGAACCAAAAAGGCATTGACTTTATGATCCTGTTCAAATTCCTGCAGCAGCCTCCAATTATACCTAAAAAAAACCCCAAGTTAACACAAGGCTCCCTGTGATCCAGCCTGGGGCTGCCGCTCTGACCTCATTTCCTACCCTCTCTCCCTCTCTCTTACTGTGCTACAGTCATATCACCCTCCTTACTGTTTCTGGAACATGCCAAGCACCCTCCCACCTCTGGACCTTTGCTCAGAATGCTCTTCCTCAAACGTCCCCATAGCTCACTCACAAGTCTCCCCTCACTCAGGTCCCTATGCCTACACCACCTCCTCAGGGAGGCTCATCCTGATCATTCCTTCCAAAGCCTGACCTTGGCCCCTCACCCTATCCTCTCGCTGCACTTTGTCTTTCTTCCTAGGACTCATTACTAGCACAGAGTGTACTATGCTGGATGATACTCTACTGCACTATACCATGCGATCCTGATCATTCCTTCCAAAGCCTGACCTTGGCCCCTCACCCTATCCTCTCGCTGCACTTTATCTTTCTTCCTAGGACTCATTACTAGCACAGAGTGTACTATGCTGGATGATACTATACTGCACTATACCATGCTACATATTTACTTGTTTATCTGTTTGTTGTCTATCTTCTCCACTAGAATGTAAGCTCCATGAGGGAAAGAACTTGTTCTATTCACTATTAGAATAGTGCACAATAGATTCTCAAAACTGTTTGTTGAATGATGAATGAATGAGTAAGTGAGGTGAATGAGTGAGTGAGTCAGTGAGCTAGTGAGTGAATTGCCAAACAGAAGACCTTAGTTCTGGTCCTCTCTTTGCCACTAACTCACTGAATGTGAATGCTTTTATGCAAGTTGATTCTTCCACTCTTCTCAGTTTCTTTATCTGGCAAACAGTCATACAATTTTTCCTTATAAAAAGATATTGTGTATACACAGAAGAATGGAAATCATCAAGTCGAAGGTATACCTGTTCCCCAATGTTCATCGCAGCACTCTTTACAATAGCCAAGAGTTGGAACCAGCCCAAATGTTCATCATCAGATGAGTGGATATGGAAAATGTGGTGTATCTACACAATGGAATACTACTCAGCTATAAAAAAGAATGAAATACTGCTATTTGCAATGATATGGATGGGCCTGGAGAGAATAATATTGAGTGAAACAAGTCAGGCACAGAAAGAGAAATATCACATGTTCTCACTTATTGATGGGAGCTAAAAATAAATAAATAAATTCACACACACACACACACACACACACACACACACAGAAATGGCGGGGGAGAAGACATAACAATTGCTATTCCTTGAAGTTGATATGACAAGTGAACAGAAAGGACATTGTTGGGAGGGAGGGGGGAGAGGGAGGGAGGAGGGAGGGAGGGAGGTTTCAGTAATGGGCCACAATAATCAACCACATTGTATATCGACAAAATAAAATAAAATATAAAAATAAAAAATAAAAAGATATCGTGCAATGTGGCCATAGATATGAAAGTACTAAATGTTATTGAATATATTATACAAATACAAGGTTTCCTTTTTAGGTTGAAGGCTTCCTAAATTTGATTGAACTTCACTGACTGGGGTGGAAAGTTTCATTCCCAACAAAGAATCTTTTGTGGATGTTAGAATTGATCAGGCCTCACTGGGAAGAGAAGACCTAGTCTACTATACAGGAAAGCGTGCAGGGTGAGGGATGAAAGACCAGATCAGAATCTAGCCTCTTCCGCACACTTGATGGTGACCTTGGGGAACTCATAGGTGCTTACCCCGATGAACTTCAGATTCTTCTTCTCTCAAAAGGGTGGAGGATGGGGATGGTACATAAAATATTTCCCTTTGTCAAGGTTTCTATTTTGTTCCATATATCTGTGTCATCATAATCCAGCCACCACTTATTGATCACTGAGTCTGCACCACAAACTTGACATGCGTCATCACATTGCGTCTTCTACCCAACCTCCTTACCTTCACTATTCACGTAAAAAAACCATCGAGTAACTTAGTTCACGGTAGTATAACTGGTGGCTCATGAGTAGCAGAGCCAGCACTTCAACCCAGGCATGCTGGCTTCTGAGCAAGCACTCTTAACCACTATGCTATCTTTGTGCACAAACTAAGTGATAACCAAGTTCAGAAGGAAGGGGGGCACAACTGTCTGTCTGTCAAGTCAGTTTTACCTTGTGGAACAGGGTGGAAAATCCTGTGATTCTGTAACAAGGTTAAGTCGATATATCCAGGCAGCATGTTCTGACTTCTTCCTCCTCCTCCCTCCACAGGGCTTCATGGACATCGACTTAAATAAATTCAAGGAGAGTGGTGCAAATGTGACAGGCTTCCAGTTGGTGAACTACACGGACACCATTCCAGCCAAGATCATGCAGCAGTGGAAGAACAGTGATGCTCGAGACCACACCCGGGTGGACTGGAAAAGACCCAAGGTGAGGGAGGGGCAGCAGCAGTGAGGGACCAGCCTGGTCTCTTTGCCTGCCCTAGATTTCTGGGAAGAGTTGGCCTTCAGAAAGGCATGGGGTTTCTAAGCTAAGGGAAATATATTTACAAAGATTACTGGGTATAGGCCGCAAGGGTCAGACAACCCAAAATGGCAATGGTTTTAAAAAGATAGACGTTTATTTGTCTCTCATGTAAACAACATTCAGGAGTCAGCAGTCCATGGCTTATATAATATAATAGCTTCACAATCATCAAATACCAAGGCTTCTTTTATGTTCTTGTTCTGCTATCCTCAGAATTTGGCTGCTATGTTATAGTCTACGATGACTGCTTAAACTCCTACCATTACCTCAGCATTCTACCCAGCAGGAAGGAAAAAAGGAAAATGAAAAACACAACTGCTTCCTTTAAGAACCCTTTTCAGAAGTCACACACAGCTCTTCCACTCACACGCCATTGGCCATGTCTTAGAAAGCTACCCCAGTTGGCTGCAAGGGAAGCTGGAAAATGGTGCCTCTGTGTTGGGCAGGGCCACCATGTTGCACAGCTCAGGAGGATGCACATTTCTTTGTGAATGGAGCCTCCTTGGGTTGTGCAGTGATTCTGGTCAGCCATGTGCCCAGCTAAATATCAGGGGAACCTAACTAGGGAATATGGAGCAGCTCTCCACCTCAGTCAGTTCTCAATTATCATGCGGACTATCTGCTTCTCACTTCCTGGCAATACAGCTCTAAATCCTGCAGCCAAAATCTATTTTGTTTGCTATTTGAGAATGGTTTAGAATAAAGATAGCAAGTAATTTTTCTTTCCCATGTCAAATCAAATAGCTTGGCAGTGGCTGTGTGGAACCCAATGTTGAGAAGGTTTCCAAAGCCAAGTTTGTTTATCTAGGGCAAACAGTGAATGCTTGGCAGGCTTTCTCTTGCCACTTGGTCAATTTCTTTTTGTAAATGGCAGGCCATATAACTGAGACAATTCTCATCCTTCTCCTGTTCCAACTGGTTTAACTTTACAAGAATGAAGACATTTCAATATGACCTTAAGCAAACAAAATCACAAATGTGCTTTAAAGCAATGAGCAAACCACATAGGAGGTAATTAATATGTGAATACCTGCCCAGTTTCCAAAAGAGGAGCAGATTACAAAAATACCCAAATATAGTGTAATTTTTTTAAACAGTGAGAGAACAAAGTTAAGAATTGAAAAAGTACTTATACATTTATTCTTAACTGTCTCTCGTGAACTTACACTGTGCCAGACAACACAATAGGTATTGAGAACAAATCAGTGAAGAAGACAGACATGGGTTCCAAAGCCAGAAGATATTTTCCTGGACTGTTATCCTGGTTTTGTTTTACTGACATCTTAGCCCCCTTTTGGTCAGGAGGGGAAAAAATGGAAAGTTATCATGAGTAAGCACAGGGGAAAGTTTACAGTATGTAAATTTACCACTTAGGTGAGCCACATGCGGTAATATTTAAGAACTCACCTTTCTTAGATTTTATTTTTTTTACTGTCACGAGGGATAGTGGAGTGAATAGTTCCTCTTGCTCCCAATTGCTGACTGTAATGCAGGGAAAACCAACTGGTTTTCCATGGGCCGTATCCAGCCTACAGATGTGTTGTATTTATTTAATCTATGCATTTTTTTTCCCAATTGAACCACTTTTTAAAAATTGCAAGATTGAACACAAAAATCTAGAATTCTGGCTTCTCTTAGAAAGTCACATTTAACAGTACTGAACTCACAATTTAGGAGGGCAACATTGGCTAGCATGGTGAAGCAGCCCCCATATGAAGGGGCAGGCACTCCCCACCTGGTCACCACTGTCTCCACCCCGTGCACCTTACACCTGGCCCACTGCACACACTCTCATCATGAGGAAGCACATTCCCAGATACAGCTCCCAACTCTGCCTTCCTGTCAGCTCTCTCAGATGCCTAACTGTCTCTATTCCTCCCACTAGTACACTTCTGCGCTTACCTACGACGGGGTGAAAGTGATGGCTGAGGCTTTCCAGAGCCTGCGGAGGCAGAGGATTGATATATCCCGCCGGGGAAATGCTGGGGACTGTCTGGCTAACCCAGCTGTGCCCTGGGGCCAGGGGATTGACATCCAGAGAGCCCTACAGCAGGTAAGGCCAACAATGGTTGTCCTATCTTGTGGAAGACTTCAGCATCAAATTCAGGCAGAATGCAGCTATTTAGAAGAAAAGAAAGAGCATGCCTAAAGTTTAGAACAGCCATGCATTGTTTTTATGGTTCTTAGCTTACAAAGAAGCTCATGTAAAAATTTTTTTATAAAAAACTGAATAAACAATAATATGGAATAGTCATTCCTTATAGTGTAAAAGCTGTATGTATTTTCTGCTTAGGGATTATGCTAAAAATGAAAAGCTGGTGATTTTCTGTATTTGGAAAGGAGACTTGAAATACCCAAGGATGAAATTGGACCATGTTATCAGTCTCCTGGAAACCCTCCCCACTTGCTCTGATTTTCTGCATTTTTTCATTACCTTTGCTCCCTGTGCACATTTCATGGGAGCCTACCTACTGTGTACTGGGACCCTGAAAATGTTTCTCTGTACTTCTGATCCTACCTTCCTGCTTCTCAGCCTTGCAATCACCAATTTTGTTTGCACTTAAGAACAGTTAAAGGATAGGAATAGAAAATAGCTATGCCCACTCCAATCAATTGGCTATGCGAAGGATTCTGAGGCCGAATCCAGATACAACAGGGAAAAGTATAAATATTCAGTTAGTGATCTGTCTGTGGTGGAAGCAGGATGAGACAGTGGTACATGTGAGCATATATTTCACATCTCTGGTTTCAGAGATTCTGGGGACTTGCCATCGCTTTATCAGTCTTGGAGCTCCTAGAAGCACCTCAGGCCCAGGCTGTGATATTCAAACTGCCAATGGGTAGCACCATATTGTGCCTCTGATGCCTCCTGATGGAGAGGCTGCATTTCCAGAGGGACTGGGGGAAGAGGGCAGTGCTCACTGCAAGGGAATGACAAAGCAGCAGGCACAGTGGTGAGGCAGCGACAGCAAGATATTGTGGTGCAAATGCCCATCAGGACCCACTCTCCCCAACCTGGGTCAGACCAGCTCTACTTTTAAGACTGCATTCATCAGAAAGTGAATGTGGGCTCTCAGGGGAGGAGTGTTTCTGAATGAAGGAGAAATGTAGCGCAAAATGTACAACCATTCCCACCTGTTTTCCAACCGCATGAGCACAGCTGTAGCGATTTTCACAACCTGGAGAAAAGAGTCGAGGAAGGAACCTCACCAGCTGTTCCTCAGCCTAAATGAAGTGCCTTCCCATAAAGGAGAATACAGAGTTCTGTCCTTCAGGAGGAAGCTACGCAACAGTCCTGCTAACTACAGGAACAATATGTTAAGGAAGACCACCTGCAGCCATTTCTGCCCTACCCTGGTCTCTATGCAGGTGACCCCCAAATCACTGTGCCCAGCACCAGCTGGGTAAATCCTGATGGCATCCAGTCCTTGGAACCCAGAGCTTGGGGCTTGGGTCTCCACTGCCCTGATCGCTGGCCCTCAGGTCATATGGTGGGAAGGGACCTGTGGTTCAGCATGTGTCAGAGCTGGGATATCTGTGAGTTAGGCACAACCTACCTGGAGGGCTAGCATGTGGGGCTTAAAAATAATGATAATCACGGCTAAGATGTGTTAAGGCTTTCTATGTACAAGGCTCTGAACATTTGTATGTATTATGAACAGCAGACAAGAGGCAGCTTCCAGAATGATTGCCATTAGGGCAGTGCCTGCCCCCCAGCTGATTTAAAATGCTCTTCCTGACTCTAGTCAAGACATTCTGTTTGCAACGTGAGACTGGTTTCAGAAGCTCCCAGGGACTTGCCCTCAGCTCACAGCCCTTCCATCTCCCTTGCCTCTCCCATCTTGATGATGTCCTAAAAGGATATTCTGATGCTAGCACAACGGGGATGAAACCTGGGAGACAACATGAGTTGGGAGGATGGGCTGTGAAGCAGGAGGCAGGAGAGCAAGGCTCTGTGTCCCACTGGGCCCCTGACTCTCTGGGTGACCTTGAAATAGTCATTCAACTCTCCTGTGGATTCCCCTTTCCTTATCCATGAAAATAAGGATGTTGGAGAGACAACCCCCAAGGCTCAACTGGCTCGAAGAATTCAGAGTCTAGTTTTTTTTCTCTCTTATGTTCTAGCTCACTTCCTAATGGTTGTAATATCTGCTTTCTTCCACTCTGCCCTCAGTTGGGTTTGAGAGGAAGCAGTTGCCATGGTCAAAAGAATAATGATCTCTTCTTTTGTCTTGGAGCCAAGACAAGTTTGAGCCTGCCTTTCATCAGCTGTGCCCTGAGCGCCTACTGCGTGCTCTGGCGGTGGCCAGGCACTGGGGATGATGAGAGAAGGCAAGGCCTGCCCTCAGAAACTCCCTTCCGTCTCTACGAAGGACAAAAACTAGTCCACAAAAGAAAACAAAAAGGTAAACCAGAACAGTCCTACCTTAAGATTAGCTGTTCAAACTGATTCCTTTTCAAATCTTTGTTAAGCACCTAGAAACAAGAGTTTATTGCTGAAAGAGAACCTAGAGATTACTGACTCCCATTTTCCCTCACTTTGTAGATGAGACAGCAGACTCAAAGTAGGCAGTGACTGCTCCAGGGCCACACAGCAGCTTAGCAGTGGAGGCTGGACCAGACTCCTGTCCAGAGCTCCCTCTACTGCCTCAGATAAGGCCTATTTTTTGGCCCCAGGGTACTTTGCTTGTAAGCGTTACCTCTGGGGCCTTCCACCCACAGTCATGGCCACCTTCCAGCCATTTCGCCTTCTAGACTCATCTCTTGAAATAGCCATGCCACCAGGGAGCGACTGTGCCCACCTCTGGCTGGGAAAATCCTGATGGCTTCCAATCCTTAGAACCCAGACCAGCTTCCCTGACCACTGGCTTTCAGATCGCACAGTGGGAGGGGACCTGTGGTTCAGCTTGTGTCAGAGCTGGGATATCTGTGACTTAGGCACAGCCTACCTGGAGGGCTAACATGTTGGGGTTAAAAATAATGGTAATCATATGTGTTAAAGGTTTACTATGTACAACGCTCTGAACATTTACATGTATTATCTCATTGAACCCTAGATGTAATACTCTGCAGTAGTTAGTTTTATTAAGTGTGCATTGCAAATGGAGAAACTGAGCTTCAGAGATTAAAAACATCCCCAAATCATAAAACTATCTGGCTCACAGTGAAACTGGGCCTCCAGTCCACATTTAGATGACCCCTCACTCTATATGCTTAACTGCTGTCATGCCTCAAAGGCCGAGCCAGGCAGGGGAAACACAAGAGCTCTGACCCTGCCCCCAGCAGCACATGGCCCTTGGTAGTATCCCTGCACTGCCCCCATCCCCAACTCCGCTGTAATTTTCTTAGCAGCAGAGTGAAGATAATCAGCCTGCCTGTCTGCCCCCTGCCTGCCATCCAGGGAGCCATTCCGAATATTGATGAGCCCACATCCTGGAAGCCCTTAGCACTCCAGGAAGGAGGTGGCATTAGGGTGCCCATATGTCAGTTTCTGGCTGGCAGAGAAGACCCAACTCCCCAAGTCAGGTTTTAACATTGGGGAGGTCATAAGCACTTGAGGATATGATTTTTTTTAAAAAGCTTTAGACTGTTTTTTCTAGAAAAATGCACACTTACCCACCTATATTTCTGCATGAGCAGGGTCGAGGAGAACATAGACACTCCTACAAGCCCATCCCAGGACCTCAGGTTTAGAATGCCTCCCTAAATAGTGATCATCCATCTTAGTCTTTGTTTTTTCAATCTGTCAGCCAGTAACTAAACATATAAAAGAGTAGGTATGCCCAGCATGTTGCTAGATGGAATCTGGGGCCGGGTAGGGAATAGGAGTGTAAGACACAGTCCCTGCCTTTCAGGACTCAAGATTCAGTTTCAAAGGCAAGACAAGCTTATGAGAAATAATTACTAGAAAGGTGTGGATTAAGAGCTAAATTGCATAGGTGGGCTCATGGTGCTGGGCATGGTCAGAACAGAATGCCATCCCCGAGGAACGTGGACACCAGCAAGCCTTCCTGTGGGAGGGTGACTGGTACTTTCAGTAGAATAACCAAGTAATTGATCACCCAAACTGGGACACTTAAGAGTGAAAGGGAGAGATGTTATCAATTATTCCAGAATGAAAGATGAAGACTGGAACACAAGCCGTAAAGGAAGGGTAACTTTGAACAAGAAGTAAATCGAGGGTTGGAGGTTCAGGGTGGGGATATCAATGATACCCAGCAAGACACTAGAGTGAGGTGCCACTGAGGACCTGTAGGCATCATGCTTGGCCTGATACAGAGTTAGAAGAAAAGAGCTGAGTTCCAACCATGGCTCTCTCAAGCACTATCTGGGAGATCTTGGACTAACTGCTCGACTTTTCTGGGCCTGAATCTTGTCATCTGCTAAATGGACATAATCTTCTTAGCCCTGCCTCCCTCACTGACTTATTACAAGGCTCAGTATGTTAAGAAAGCATAATGTATACACTTTTTCGAACCTCGGGGCAACTGAGATAGTTAGAACCAGGATTATTCTTTCCCTTGTTCAGGTGGGAAAGTGGAAACTCAGCCAGGTCCTAAGATTTGCCCTAGCTAGAATAAGTAGTATGTGGTGCAGTAGGAACCCAGCCCACAGGCTTCACACAGTCAGCATCCAGGAGGAGAGGCCAAGAGGCAGGGTCAGCTGAAGGCAGCCAAAGAGGTGATAGAAGCCCTGGGTCCAGAGCAGCTCAGCTGTCTCCTCCAGGGATGCTTTTCAGGATCCAGTGGGAGTGGGGAGAGGAGTCAGTGTTGGTAACTGACAAAGATTCTTTGCTTGGCCACACTTTAGTCAGGCTCCTGAACCTTCTCCTAGACACATCTGTGCACTTCCTTATAAAATCCAGATTTAGGAAAGAACTCTGCTAAGTCAATTAGCAAGGACCCCCCATGGGTTTTTCATTCTTTACCATCCCCAGGTGATGTCTGACCACCCCGGCCAGTGTTCAGCAAGAATCCTGTTAGGTTACTTTAACCAGAATCCCCTGTACCTGGGTATTTCTTCTTAGTAATTTTCCTTCCACTGACCCCCACCCTGCTCCTTGGCTATAAATTCCCACCTGCCCATGCTGTATTTGGAGTTGAGCCCAATTTCCCTCCCCCACTGCAAAATCCCATTGCAGTGGTCCCTGCACCTATCAAAATGGTCCTGAATAAAGTCTGCCTTACCATGCTTTAAACAAGTGTAATTGAATATTTTTTTCTTTAACATGGCTCAAGTGGTAGAGACATCAACCAGCACTTTCCCAGCACCAGGCAGGAAAAAAATGTATGTTTCAGCATCCCACTGGCAGTAGACTCTGAGATGCCATTAACAGAAATACCAAAGTCAATTCTCCATCTTTTACGGAGGGAATTGGCAGGCGCCAGGATGGCGATGGGAGTTCTAGGAGCAGAAACCAGGGAGAAATGCCTGGGCTCTGTCAGTCTGACCTCAGTCACCCTGGGGCAAGGCGAGAAGGGGATGAGTGCCCAGAGCTCAGACCTGATGGATGTGGATAGCAGTTTCAAGATTTATACAGAGTGGGTGTCTCTGAGAAGCTTCTTCCTTTGATTCTGCATCCTGGCTCTCCAGATAAATGGTTTGGGGCTGAATCATTCTCTTGACCTCTTATTGCTCTGCCGTCATGGAATGGTGATTCTGGGATATCTCCTTTCCCATTTTCTTTTTTTTTTTTAATTTTATTTTATTTTGTCAATATGCAATTCCTTTCCCATTTTCTGATAATACTTTGATTTATCTCAGTGTGTGTAAGTCTTGGCTTCCCCAACTAGACAGTAAGAACCTCCAGTTACCCCAGGCCTCTCAGTGACTTACTGTGAAACCCAGATCCAAGTGCCATCAGCTCTGTCTCAATGATCTTATCTGTAAAATGGGCAAAATAACCTGTGCTCTGGCTACATACTGGGTTTCTGTGAACATCAGAAATAATCAGCTTCTCGTGGAAACACTGTGGCCATACAAGGGGCCCTCAGGTCACTACATCTTTGTAGGTGGGACTCTTGGCCTTATTGGAAACTGAAGAAGACATGTAAAAGTGACCGTGATAAGATCCTCATTTCTGCTGAGGGAGTCCCCTGCTCTGAGACAACAACTTACTAGACCAGAGGCCTCAATTTTAGATCTTATTTTCTATACCTCTTACCCACTCTACACAGCACAGTATAGTAGTAGTCACAATAGTCATCATCATCTAAATAATATAGATTAGGTATTGAACACTTATGTCCCAAATAATATGCTAAGCACTTTAGTTCTTTGAAGAGGAAATCAAGAAACAGATAGATGCAGTGATAAGCCCAGGACTAAATGAGTATAGTTAGGCATGAGCAGAGCACAGCCTGGGAAATACCCAGCAGTAATAGTGGGTGGCAGTAGAAAGCAGGTAGAACACACTACGTTGCACATTTCTGTGCCACTCACCTAAAGCCCAGCACAGTAGCATTGGCTCCTGTTTGAGAGGCCAGTTGGTATCTTAAGAGAAGATATCAGAAGATATCAGCAGCTCTGGATTTTAGACCTGCCTCTCCCATTTATACCTCATGGCAGCCTGTACTTCTCTGTCCTTGGCCTTAATCATATCTCTAATAACCATGGTGGCACACTAAGAGGCACTGTGTGTGAGAAAGTGTGTGAGTGTATGTGAGAGTGTGCATATGGCTGGGGGGGTTGCGTATGTGAGTGTGCGATGGGGTGATTGTTGGCTGGTGGGCTTCCCTGCAGATTATTAGGCACCATGCTAGAGACCTGGGCCTGGGAGGTCTCAGTTTTTCTCACAGTTGCCACTTTCTCTCTGGTCCATCAACCCCGCCCCACTGTGCTCAATGTCTCTACCTTGGGAATATTTCTGGGTCAGGGTCAGGGTTGGGGCTAGGATTAGTCATAAATCTTGAGCAGATCATCTTCCCTCCAAGAGTTTTTGGTTTCTCTCATGTAAGTGAAAATCGTGATCTCTAAACACATACTTTGGGGATTCCTATAAATAGACATGAAGTGATATATATGAAAGTTCTTTATAAACATGAAACACTTGGAAAGTGGTGGTAGTATTAGTACCACTGTTAGTAACAATAATAATAACAACTAGCACTTTTTGAATATTTGCCAAACATTGATTATAAAATATCTCATTTAATCCTTAAAACAACCTTAAGACATAATTCTGTTTGGTCCCATTGAACAAATGAGGAAACTGGGTCATAGATTATGCAATTTACCGTTCTAATATGCCATACTTATGGTTAGTGTGATACTTGAGACTAGAACCAACAAGCAGATGCCCATTTGGTCATTAATGACACTTCTTTCTGTTTGGACAAATCTACCCAAATCTGTAATCCTGTCATCTGCACATTACACCCCAGCCTATTTTTTCCAGATCAGTCACTTAAACTGGTACCTACCAACCTAAGAATCCTATCTTGAACCTAAACCAACGGGAAAGCTAAAAATGGGCAAGAGATGACCAAGGTGAGAAGAAGGTGAAGTTGTTCATGGACTGGAATTTCTCCCTTCTTTTATTCTTCGTAGCAGGATCTGTGCTTTGTTTTCTCTCTGAAAAGCAAAGACAGTCCAGACTTTTCCAGAGCCAGGGATTTCTCCAAATTTCATCTGAGAAAGTTAAGAGCTTATTGTATAATTTGCCCAGTGCTCTGGGCCTGTTGTGGCCTCCCCACTGAGACTTCAAACCAGAAGGCATGAGAGGGTCAGCCTCAGAACAGGCATCCACATGCACACACACACACACACACACACACACACACACACACTCTCTCTCTCTCTCTCTCTCTCTCTCAAATACACACACACTCCAGCTATTCTTATACCTCCTAAAGTCAGGAAAAGATAAAACTCTGCAAGGCTTCTTCTTAAGCTATTTGAATGGGGGAAAAAATAAACAGTTGTGGGTCACAGGGCAGTGTATTGGTAACAGGTAGAGACACCTCATTGGCCTTAGACAAGAGAGATCAGAGGACACGTGGTGGGTCACTGTTAGAGAATGTGGTTTCCTATACCTGAACTGATGATACACTAAACTTATCCTCAATTTGAGGGTGGACTTGAATTAGATTTATTTGTCATCCACAGAGCAGTAGGCTCAACCCTAAAGGTCTTGGATCACCATGTTGACCACTTGACCTTTAATACAAACTTGAAGATCTGAGGCCATGAAAGTTTAATTTGACCCATTAGTGGGAAAGAAATTCCATGCTGCATATTTTGGGGTTCCAATACAAATTTTATTTTAACCAGCTCTTTAAAACCCTGCATGCTCTGCTCTGAACATAAAGGGTTTTTTTCTTAGGTGCCTTACAGTTTTTACAGGACTTTCACGTTAGCTATGTCATTGAAGGTAGACAGGGCAGGAATTTTAGAAACTGGAGGCTTAGAAAGGTGAATCACCCAAGATTGCTTGGCTGTTAGGAGGAAGCTGGAGTGAAATCCAGGTCTTTAGACTTTAAGGTATTTTATTCCTCAGACTCACAAAGAATTTAAGAAATCATTTTCAAGCATAGCCGAGGCAACATAGGCCGGCTTCTGACCTTGGGTTTTCTCCTGACTTAGTGAAGGTACACCGGTTCCTTTCTTTTGCAGTCCTCCCTCAGTTTCCTAATCTTCAGACCTGTGTCTGAGAAGGGTGGTGGTCATGGTGGTGGTGTTGGGGGGTGGCGGGGCTGTTTGATTAGAGATGGTGCAGAGCTCTCACATCAGTATGCACCCTGACCCATTGTTAGTGTTTGCCTAAGGTAATGGGTGAAAGTGACTTTCAGGAAGGGTCCCAGTTCAGGGGGAAAGAGGTCAGTGCTCTAATGCTGATGCCTGCAGTGGACAAGGGAGTGGAGAGTTTTAGCATCCAGGCTACCCCAAGACCTCATCCCGTATGACATTCTTGGATTCTGGATTTCTACTTCAGCATAGAAAGCAAACACAAACATGAAGTGCAATGTCTGACTTCATTACTTACCACTTGGCTTTATTTTCCAGGTGCGGTTTGAAGGCTTGACAGGAAATGTGCAGTTTAATGAGAAAGGACGCCGGACCAACTACACTCTGCACGTGATCGAGATGAAACACGATGGCATTCGAAAGGTAAGGGCCACCTTTGCTTTCGTTCTGCAGGGAGGAGAGGGCTGAGGGGAGGCTCTGACCAGAGCTGAGGGCTCTGTGAATTCATCTTTCCTGGACTAGATCTTTGAAGAGACTAAGGCAACATGGATTCTAGACTTGGCTCTCCCACTAACCAACTGGGACTTTGGGCAAGTCAGCTCCCTTCTCTGAGAATTGATTCACTCATCTGCAAAATGGAGATAAAAATCTCTACATTTGTCTCAGGGTGCTTGTGAAAATCCAAGGGATGGAAAAACACACTTTGAAAATACAAAATTACACATGTGTGTAAAATGTCACTGCTATTCCTGAGGGATTCTGCAGTAAGAATTTGAGAATGATGATTATAGTTGAAGTTAACCATCTTCTCCTAATCTACACTTGGTCACATCCACTCTGTTATCCATACAGAAGTAACATTAAAAATATGTGTGCGTGTGTGTGTGTGTGTGTGTGTGTGTATAATATGAATGCATGTTAAAGTTGTTAGAATAGCATTCAAATCTTTGGAATAACATTCAGAGTTCTGCCAGACCCTATGTGCTCTGGCCTCTGCTGATTTCTCCACCCTTAACCCTTGACACTCACTTCCGTCCTTTCTCCACTCTAATTATTCAGTCTTCCACTTCCTCGAACACACCATGTTCTTTCTCACTGGAGAGCCTTCACACGTGTTCCCTCTGCCTGGGACTTACTCTGTTCCACTACCTTCTTTTGCCTGGCCAATTCCTCCTCAGCCTTTAGCACTCAGAGTAAATATCCTTCCCTAGGGAAACCTTCCCTGGCCTCTCTCATTATACCTCATAGCAACCTGTACTTCCCTGTCCTTGGCTGTCATCACATCTCTAATTCCCATGGTAGCATAGAGTAGAGACTAAGAGGCACCGTACAGTATGGTATAGAGCTAGTAGAGTGTCATGGAGCAGCATATTGGCTCTGGAATCCTTGAAACAATCACGGCTTATTAGTCTGGGATCCTGGGCAACTTATTCAGGCTCTTTGTGCCTCAGTTCTCTCATCTGGTAAATGAGGATCAGCATAATAATGCTGTCCTCATAGAGTCATTGAGGGACTGGTGATGTGATTGTGTCCAGAAGCTCTAAGTGTGGGCCTGGCAGGCTGAAAGCTGGGTCTTAGTCTCTCAAATTTGATGTTCTCTATGCCTGTGCTGTCAAACACACTTGCCACTAGCCATATGTGGCTATTTACATTTAATTTTAAATTAATTAAAATCTAAAAGTCAGTCCCTCAGTTGCACTAGCCACATGTCAGGTGCTCAATGGCCACATGTAGCCAGTAGCTAGCACATCAGACAGCACAGATGTAGAAGATTTTCATCATTGCAGGAAGCTCTACTAGATGGCTCTGTGTGCACTCTTTATCCTCAACTCCCTTAAACCCATCTTTCCTGCTCTCTTGTCTGGAATCCCACCCTCTCCTTTATAGTCTATCTCAATTCCTTCCATTCATCAAGGCACCTCTTGCTGCCAAAACAAATTACCACAAACAGTGGCTTAAAACAATGCAAATGTATCATCTTACAATTCTGTAGGTCAGAAGTCTGACTTGAGTCTCACAGGGCTAAAATCAAGGTGTTTGCAGGGCTGTGTTCCTTTCTGGAGTCTCCAGAAGAGACTCTGTTTCTCTGCTCTTTCCAGTTTCTTCTAGAGGCCACCATGTTCCTTGACTCATGTCATTTTTCCTCCATTTTCACAACCAGCAACATCACATCTCCCTGACCCTTCTTCTGTCATCATGTCCTCTCTGACCACATCTGGGAAAGGTTCTCTGCTTATAAGGACTCATATAATTAGGTTAGGCCCACCCAAATAGTCCAGTATAATTTCTCCATCTCATGGTCAGTAACGTTAATCACATCTGCAGTGTCCCTTTTGCTATGTAAGGTAACATGTTCACAGGTTCTGGGGACTAGGGCATAGACATCTTTGTGGGGTAGGGCATTATTCTGCCTACCACAAAGGCCCAGTTTAAATGTCTTCTCTTTCATCAAGCCTTCCCCACCCAGTAGAAGCCATCTCTTGACCTCTTGGGTTCCCAAACAAAGTTGACTCCACCAGGACATTATCACATTCTCCCTTGTTGCAGTGGCTATTTGCATACATCCTATCCTTTCTCCTAGACCATGAGCAACTTGAGGGCTTCCAGAGTCCATTTCCCACCTCCTACTGGGTACACTTAGCAGTCAGCTATGGTAGGTCCAATACCTACCTTAACTTTCAGCAGGTACCATACAAGGGCACCTGTATGGCTATAACTGTAGCCAATGGGAACATATTCACTTTTCCTCAAACCTTTGGCAGGATGATTGTACAAGGATACTCTCTCTGGGGACAAAAAAAATCTACTGTGAATGATGCTTTTCCAGAAATAGCCCAAGTCTGAGCTCATTTTTGTTATCTCTGTTCTGAATCCTACTGCTGGAGAAGACATCTGCTAGATCACATAGCTCTTATACCCTTCAATTTCCACAAAATTGGAGCAGATCATGTCTGCATTGGCAGCTGATCATTGTTCAGTGAGTGTTACCTGTGTTAGTGTTTATTTCCTATGGTAAATGTTAAAGAGGTGGCCTGTGACTGAAATCTGGGAAACGTGCATATGGCTTGTTTATTCCTTTAAAAGTGTTTTATTATTTGGTTTGGTTGTGAACAGTATCGGCCTCAGTGATATAGACCCCCTTGCAAGATGAATAGACTACGGCAGAGGCTCACTAGGCTGCCTAAGCTCTCATAGTGAGCTCTGGCTGAATGGAGACCTTAATCCAGGACCCTGACTCCCCAGCCCATGCTCATTCTGCTGCAGCTGCCGTGAAAGCTGAATGGATCAGAGTGACACAGTTGGGACATATCTGATGACTGAGGGGTGGGGGACAGCAGCTAGGGGAATTTTGCTGCTGCTGGAAGGGACACCAGACATGTGACCACTTCCCCAGGACATCTTCCTTTCAGATTCTAAGCAGAACTGGTGGTGTCACCCCTACCTTACAGATGAAAACATAGATGTTGTAGCTTTCTTGTGTAAGGCTTAGAACACACAAGCAGATGGCTTCTAGATAAAAAATTGTTGGCCGTGCATCTGGGCTATCACTCAGAATCCTCAGAATAGCCTTTTGCCCTCAGTAAAAAAAAAAAAAAAAAAAAAAAAAAAAAAAAAAAAAA